ACATGTGGCACACCCCCCATGGCACTATGTAGCAAAATGGCTCACCTGTGTAGGGCTAGTTTCACTGGTATTTGGGAACCTTCCCATGAAGGTTCCGCCGGTTTTTCTGGACAGGTTTACTTACACTTTTTCATGCATGATTTTGCTTGGTTTTCTCAGGATTTTATTTTTATTTTTATTTTTCTTGTTCTTTGCCTTTTCTTTCTATTCCCTTTTTCTTTTTAAGTTTTGTGAAGTTTTTTAAAACTCATAAACTTTTTCCATTGCGAACTTTTTTAAAATCCATGAAACTTTTCCAAAATTTGTGAACTTTTGTCAAATATACAAACTTTTTCAAATTTTGTGGACGTTTGAATTTTTTGTGAGAGGAATGTCTCATAACTACCAACCCTTTATACGCTTGCAACACATTGAGTTTTGGTGAAATGTTATCATTCACCCCAATGATATTATGGTGCTTGATTTTTTGCCATAAGAAAGAGAAAGCTAAGAATTACCAAGCCATGTAGGTCAAAATTACTGATCACAATAATGAACCAATAAGGCAAGTTTGTGAAATAAGTATGGAAGGAAGGAGATAACAAGGACAAAACAGAGAGTTTAGCACTTGCCACTGTTGGTGAGGACAACAACGATGGTGAAATGTTGCTATGTATGTGTGCGACCTATATATGCTCGTCTTTGAAGTGCACACCCTATCCAACTTGAATGTATTGACATCCAATGAGAAACAACCAACATCAAGCGATGTGCTTCCACGATGATATAGGAACAAGTGCCCCTCAGTTGAACCCACAAAAATATACTGAAATCCCAATCAGATGGACTTCTCCAAGTGCCATTGAACATAACTCTCACCATTATGGTATGAAATTCAAGGTCAGTTCACCTTTTCCATACACAAACACCCTGAGTTTGACTTCCCTAGCCTACGCAATGGTTGTATCAACTTTGTAGAAGGCTCCCACTTTACATGGAAGGTTAGCAATGTAAAACTCCGTCCTCTTCATGTCAAGCACCGACATTTTCTGTCACCAACCCGACACCCAGTAGAAGCAAGAAATATGGAACACCCAAGAACGTAGAGATGACTTTATTGCAAGCATAGTACACATCTACCATATGGAACGCCCAACTGCTACACCCCATATGCTCCTAATAGAATCTAAAGCCAGGAGTACTCTAGTGGAGGAGGCATAGCTCATGTAAAAATCAGTTCTCCACGGATCAATTATATGTCCAGTTGCAGCAAAATAATTTCTAGATAATATGCTAGAGAAACTTAGAAATTGGGAGGTGGCTTACAAACGAATATACCCGAAGCTTCTCCTGTGTCGGCGGATGGTAGAACTAGTCGCGGGGTGGTGGAGCCACGTGTGGAGAATGGCGGAGCAGGGTAAGACGTCAGAGAACAGTACCCTGGAGAACTTGTTCTGACAGCGTTAGAGCGCAGCTATTGGCGAGATCTGTCATGGAAGCTCGATTGCCGGAGAGTAGACGACCAGGAACCATGGGGACGTAGATGTAACACGACCTCCAGTAGCCGTGGTCGCCCAGCTAGGCACGAGATTTAGACCGTCGCCGCCGTCGGCAAGGATACGAGCGGAGGCCTGTTACGCCGCTCGCGCTGCGGATTTTTTGGGCCTAGGCCGCCGCTCACATTCGGAGTAGATCATAAGAAATATGACAAGAAATGAGGTACCTTTCTGCAAAGAAGAGCGCACACGTCCATCCGCTAGAATATGGGCCATTCATGTTCGATCTGACAACCCAGGAATAAATTTTCTAATTTTTATCCCTGCACCATCAATTCTATTATGGTCGTTCCCAGTTGTGTTAAGTACTCCTATTGAAGAAGCTTGGTGGGTGTACCCACGCAAGGGCTATGTCTCCTCTATTGCGAGACGAACTACTTTCTCATCTCTAGCGTTACCCCTAACAGGATGGCCCAATGTACCTTTTCTTGATCGGTTTACGAAAGTGACAGGTTCAGACTGGTTTTAGAAGCTTCCACAAATTTTTATTTCTTTCATTTTCGTTTGTTTGATGTATTGCTTTTCATTTTTTTTTGTTCATTGTTTATTTTACTTCAATCCTTTTTCAAATAATGTTGACTTTTTTAATACACGTTCTACATTTTTCTATACATTGGGACCACTTTTTATATACATGCTGAATATTTCTCAAATACATGATGAATATTTTCTAAATATATGCAAAAGATTTTCAGATACACCTTGAACATTTTTGGAGTACACATTGAACATTTTTTGAATACACGTTAAATATAAATGCCATAGGTACTTTTAACGCGCAAAACATTTGTTTCTTAGAATTTTCTAAAAAATGTCATGAACATTTTTTAATGGTACAAAATGTTTTTTACATTGTAGAAACATTTGAAAAAAATGTTACGAACATATATTTGGAACGCCTAATCATTTTCTAAATATCATGAACATGTTTTTGCATGTTATGGACATTTTCAAGATGGTGTGAACACAATTTTCACACGGCATGAATCTTTACACATGCGCGCTCAACATTTCCTTAAAAGGCAAGTAAGTTAATTTCTAAAATATTTGTATTTAGCATATCTTCAAATAGGAAAAGAAAGAACAACCGCCAGAAAAGAAAGAACGACCGTCAGAAAAAAAAAATGTGTGAAACGAACGTGAAGCAAATTGGGTCGGCCCACTACAGTGACGCATCAGGCGGAATATGCGGCAGATTGCCACTAAATTCTATTTGGGGTCTTAAGAGCCACTTATAAGCATTTTGTTACATTGACGCACAACCGCACACCCCCATGGCACTATGTAGCAAAATCGGGCACCCATGTAGGGGTATTTTTCACCGGTATATGGGAACCTTCCTGCTGGTTTTTCTGGGCGTTATTTCTTTCGGTCTTTCCAGCATGATTTTGCTTGGTGTTCTTATTTTTTTCTTCTTTTTTCTTCCTTTATTTCTCATGTATCCTCTTTCCTACAACATAATTTGCTTTTATATGCCATTCTGATTCTACCATGCTGGTGAAGTTTTGCATCAACCATTGCCTGTATGTGCTTCTTATTTTACAAACATTTTCCCGGAATTACATGTGCTTCAAGCACTGTGAGTATAGCTTGTTCTAGTAAACTTCCAGTGCACTAACATTATTCTTATTGTAATAAAAATTGCCACTGCAACTTTTGTGGTTCCTTGTTTCTAACTAAATTTTCTATTTATAGACCTTTTGCTGCCCGACTTCAGGCATGCTTCTTGTTTGCACACAATGCTAAATGAGGCTATTGATGTTGAGTGTGATGCAAACATCACAAACATGACAAGGCACCGCTGTTTGCCGCCGACTGTTCTGTTGGTCACAAGGAGGTTGCGACATGTGTAGAGCTTATCCATGATCATCTGTTCAGCACGCGTTGCGACTTTGGCAAGACAGAAGTGAAAATAGTGTCGCTGTAACTGATGCTTTGAAGTATCCACGCTTCCTCAGATTTATGTTTGTTTAGTTCAGATAGTTTACTGCAATAGAACCATGCTTCAAAATATCCATTCTTAAGCATCCAATGTTTCTATATATATGTATTTTGAAGCTTCTTTCTAGTACTAGTTGTTGCTTCCTACCTTCTATTCGGATGCATGGTGCCTAAACTTTTTATGCTTCAAAGGTGCTCAAAGGTTGCTGGCACTGCCCGGGTGACGTGCTGGCCAGCGGGATCGTCGAGTTCAACAATGGGGGGGCACTAGTGGCATGCAGACGAGTCACGATTGATGGCAAGCACACGAATCAACAATGGGAACTGGTGGCAAAAATCCCATTGGCGATGGAGACCTTTGGCACCATACAACCTAGCTCAAGATGATTGGCATTCTTGCTTCCTAATACTTCGAAATAGCATGCAACACAACTGCATCATTAAGCTTCAAGAAGCAAGTACGAAGCATATGTCGCTTAGAAAACGGAAACGACATGGCCGGATGTCAATGTTTACGACAGCATAGAAGAATCTAGTAGGAAGCATGTGGCAAAATAAATAGGAATATTTGTGATTACTGACCTTACAAAAAATTGTTGTAACTATAATTTGATTTGTTTTCTCCTATATAGAAGCAAACTCACCCTAGGACGAAGCAGAAGGCCGAGAGAGTGCAGAAGGCCGCAGCAACCGTCGGCCCCAGTTGACAGTGAGGGACCGCCGAAACGCAGAGACAACTCCACTCCCTCTTCCTCATGACCCTTCGGCTTTGTTTGGTTGGCAATGGAAATAGAACCACTAAAATTGCTGGCACAAAAAAAGTCATCAGGCATGATGCAAGTAGGATGAAAAACGAAAAATGGCCAGAGGTTACTAGCTTTTCAAAAAAAAAAAACTCATGCAAGGAGCATATTGGTGCGAGGCAAACCTGCAATCTGCATCGCTTTTAGAGAAGGGCTGGCCGAGGCTTGGGCCGGTTGGGGCTTCAGCAGCGTGTATCACCGTAAGGCCATGATGGTTGCGACTTGCGAGTATATTTAGAAAAAATGCCATTTCAAGATGATTAGATCAACTAGTCAGAAACCAGCGCACCCGCACATTAGAAAGTACGAAATTTTGCCATGATAATTGAGTGTCATATTCTGAACTTGGCATTCAGGACTTAACGATCCAGCTACAGTTACTCCACTGCCCCTGTTAACTGAACTTCACACTTGAGGGTTCAGCTTCTAAAATAACTTGACACTTGACAATCATGACTCAATACCATGCGTAATGCCGAATGATTAACCGGCTTTCTTAGCTCGCACTGCACACACACTTGGGCTTTTGTTCACCAGCATTGCCTTGTTCGGCAAGTTCACGGGCGATAGGAATAGCTCACACTATACGTATACTATGGTATTGATGTAAATGCTCAGAAAGTTGATCGATTTGACATTTTAAGCAACCGTACAAATTGATGATAAACAAAATGCAACACTTCAAACATTCACTTCTAGCTAGCCCTTTTCCACAACGCACCTAAACATTCTGTAGAGGCGGCGGAGATTCGGGGAGATTAGGAACGGCGATGATCGGGCTCCGCACAACATGCTTCGCCGACACCCAGCTCAAGCTTCCCTCCACGTGTCCTTGTCCGTGAACGTCCTTGCCACTCACCGACACGGTGAACGTCTTCTTCTCCCCAGCCTTGGAGAACACCAGTTTGTTCGGGGCAACATGTACCATGACCGATTTGGGCATGTCCAACCTCACGGTGTACGTCGATGCTGGCGGCCCTACATTCGTCACTGTCCGGTTCACGCTGAAGGTTGTTGACTTCAATGGCACAGTTATGGTCGGGTAGTTGAGTTGCACGTCTTTGACCTTGGGGAGCTTCGCGCAAGTCGTTCTCTTGTCGCGCACGAAGGTTGCCAGGCCTTCGTCGCCGAGGAGCCAGCAGATGTAACCAGCATAGTCGGTGGCACCCATGTCATACACCAGGCCAGGGTCGGCGGCCCTCGCCGGATTCACATGCCCCGCGCCTTTCGCATACGCGTCGGCTTTCCTGTGATTCTCGTCCAAGATCGAGCCGCCAGTGCTGTTAACAGCGTCCGCCGTCGTCAAGATGGCCGACTTGACGGCCGCCGGGGACCAATCTGGATGCAAGCTCTTGATAAGCGCGGCGACGCCACTGATGTGTGGTGTTGCCATCGATGTGCCGGACAAGATGTTGAAAGGGCCTAGTACAGAGTCCGTTCCCGGCGGCCATGCGGCAAGGATGTTGAGCCCCGGCGCCAATACGTCCGGTTTGAGCACGCCGGGGATGTCGATGCTTGGACCTCGGGAAGAGAACGATGCCACCACAGGGGCCGGATGGACGCCAAGCAGTGTGTTGTGGTACGAGAAAATGGCACCCGCCGAGCTGTTTGTCGTCGATGTCGCGTAAGCTCTGAGGATGGCGCCATCGTTCGTGCTCACCTGCACCACACTGGAATTGTAATCCTCAAGCTCAATCGTGTATCCGTTGGATTCACCGTTCAATAGCACTACGCCGGCCGCACCGGCACTCATTATGTTGTCGATGTTCTCCCGGGTAGTATCCGTTTCACAGACCACGATCTTCTCACTGACGACATGGTTATCCATGTAGTCAAACTTGCCTCGTTCTTCGGAGTAGAGGAGCGGGTACATCTTTGACCTCGGCTTTGCCACCTGGCTAAGCCCTTCTCCATGGATGCACTTGCCATTGCTGAGATTCACGCCGATGTCGAAGCTCCGATCCACCGAGCTAGCACCGACTGTGAGGATCCATGGTGCATCATTGTTTACTGAGTATGGATCGGGTCCTTCGTTACCACCCGCGGAAACCACGACGATGCCCTTTGATATGGCACTGAATGTGCTGATGGCGATGGGGTCTTTATCGAACCTGAGGCTGCCAAGATGGCCAATGGAGAGTGAGAGCACGTCCACCCCATCCTTGATGGCTGCGTCGAGGCCGGCCACTATGGCGGAATCATTACATTCTCCATCAGCGCACACCTTGTACATGGCGATGTGGGCACCAGGAGCAACTCCTGATGCGGTGCCCGCTCCAATACCATGATACGACGCGTCGATGACGAAGTTACCGGCTGCCGTGGATGAGGTGTGCGTCCCATGCCCCTGTTGGTCGCTAGGGTCATCATCTTCTTCGAGGAATGACTGTGCACCGATGAGCTTGTTGTTGCACCGGGTCGCCATGCATGATCCCTTCCACCTTGTCGGGGGCGGCGCGATGTTGTCACCATCAAATGAAGGGTGGTCCGCGTAGATGCCGCTATCGAGCAACCCAATGATGACTCCCTTCCCGTAGCTAGCGTCGCTCCAGATCCCGGTGCCGTTCCTGAGCCCAAGGAACTTTGGAGTGTGTGTGGTCATGAGGTGCCGTGTTTGGTCCCTAAACGCACGCACGAACCCCGGATTCTTCGCAACTGCGTTGAGCTCCCGGGCAGTGAGCCTTGCGGCGAAGCCGCTAAACACCTCGGTGTAGGAGTGCACAATAGGTGACTTGCCTGAGTCGCCGTCGCGTGATTTGGGCAAGAAAGACTCATACCAATGACGGTACATGTCTTCATCGGCATTCAAGGGTGTGGGAGGTGGCTCGACGAGCACAATGTAGGTGTGCTGGATAGACTTATTGTTGGCACCATGTATGGGTGCAGGAGAGAAGGTGGCAATCAGTAGAAGCGATACTAAGAGGTTGGCCAATGATGCCATTATACAACACCTAGTCGGGAAAGAAGATGATGGTGATTCTTTTCCAGCACCCGGTGTTCTTAATTTATATCCTATCCATGGTAATGTTGTAATAGTTTTCTAATAAATGAGATATATGATCTTGCCATATCTTGTTTTAAGATTAATTGCATGTAGGCGATATGCATGTTAGTGGCTTACTGCTAATGGCCATAGTGAGAAGAAATTACCAACCTATTAACGTGGCATAGTGTGTACTGGGATGAAATCTCCAAGCTATTAATTGCATATCCTATTAATATTAGTAAATATGTTACGTGCATTTCGCGCGTATATTGGTAGAAACTAATTGCATGTTGATATTATGTAGGATATTAATTGTATGTTGATATTAGGTAATATATTAATTACATGCTTAATTATGTGATTAGAGTTATTATTAATATTCAGTATCATATTTATTATACGCTAAACATGTTGAGCGCTCGTCATCGGATCAATCTAGGTCGTTGAATTGACATGCATGTATTGATGGCCGAGATTAGTTGGATCTACCCCTTTGTGTATTTTTATATTTGTACTATATACTATACTAGTAATCGTGTATGTGCAATGCAATTTATTATTAGGAAACATATTTTTAGGATATACTCCCTCCGAGAGAGAGGACCCGGCATAGTTTCCAGCGGAAAACTCGGACGCCTCACAGGCGGCGATTAGGGTTTCACACGTGGACCTGCGGCGCCCGCTGATCGGATCGGTGGGGCGAGATCTCACCGCCGGAGAGGAAGATGGCTTCCCCAGCTTCCTCATTGGCGAACAATGGATCTGGTGGTGCCGGTTCCTTGTCACCCAACTCGGCAAGGGCTCGGTCGGCGGAGGCGCTAGGGAAACTCGACATAACTGAAGAGGAGGCCACGCCATTGGTAATAGACGATCGGGAGGAGGGTGATCAGCAGAAGTGGATGATCGTCGGGAAGGTGCTGAACCGCAACAATCTTCATATCCAAACCATCTCCAACGCCCTCCGTCCCGCCTGGGGAAACCCTAAGGGGTTAGAATTCTGATCTATCGGAGTCAACATGTTTGTGGCGGAGTTCGCTGCCCAGAGAGATCACGATCGCGTCTGGGAAGGTTCCCCGTGGCACATTAGCAAGCATGTAGTGATCCTAACCGAGTTCGACGACTGCATGAAGCCGTCTGAACTAAAGTTCGATCATCTACAAGTTTGGGCTAGGGTAGTTAACCTGCCTTTTAATCTGCGAAGTGACTCATGGGGAACGGCGATTGCAAAGCAGATAGATAAGCAATCATCACAAGTTCGGTTTGATCATGTTGGAGGCTTCCTCAGAGCCCGTGTTACGTTAGAGGTCAGCAAACCCTTGAGGCGCTGGATCCTGATCGAATCAGCCAGACGCAAGAGCACCGATCTGTACAACATTCAATACGAGAACATCACACACTTTTGTTTTTCGTGCGGTCGTCTAGGCCACAGCGATCTCTTCTGTCCCACTCCGGGAACCCGCGACGCCAATGGTGATCTTCCGTTTGGCAAGGGTCTCCGGCCACAGGAGGATTAGAAGAAGGCAAGCTCTAGCCAGTACTCAAACAGAGAGCAAGACACTGCCCGGGGTTCAAGGCAAGACGCCAAGCAGTCCAGTACAGCTAAGGAGCAGACAAATGAGGTGAACTCTCTAGTTAAGAACAATAGGAACAAACATAAGGGGGGAGATGGCGCAAATAAAGTGTACAGGAGGATTGAGCCCAATTCCTCAAAATCTCCTGTCGAGGAAAGCAACAAGCAGCGGCTACTGATTTGTGGAGGTCCAGTGGCTGAGACTACCGAGGCTGAAGAGGATGATGGAGCAGCTGTAAGGGAACGCAAAAAGGAAAGGCCTACACCTGAAAATTTTGGGACCTCGGCAGCGGCTGCCACGCAGCCCTGCCCGTCCCAATGAATTGTATTAGCTGGAACTGTCGAGGGCTTGGGAACCCTGAGACAGTTCGCGAGCTTCGCAATATAGTGAAGCAAGAAGGTCCCGCCCTTCTCTTTGTTATGGAAACAAAGATTAAGGGTAAACGAGTGGAGAACCTGAAATCTGTTCTAGGTTTTCAAGGTTGTTTTGCGGTGGATAGCACCGGTTTAAGTGGTGGCATCGGCTTGTTTTGGAATGATGAAGTACATGTTGAACTAAAAAACTACAGCCGAGCGCACATTGATGTAAAAGTCAAGAGGAGAGATGATCCAAACCCTTGGCGTTTTACAGGTTTTTCGGAGAACCCCGGACAGAGAATAGACATCACAGTTGGGAGTTCTTGCGTACACTTCATGGAATTCAACACGAAGGATGGATCTGCATGGGCGATTTTAATGAAACCATGTATGTTGACGAACACTTCAGTGTGCATGCTCGACCGGCAGGGCAGATGCAGGCCTTCCGCGAAGCTATTGATGCTTGCTCCTTCCTAGATCTAGGGTGGAGAGGAGTTCCCTTCACATGGGATAATAAACAGCAGGGTGACTCGAATGTAAAAGCTCGGCTTGATCGAGCATTAGCAAATAATGAATTCATGCATCTCTTTGAGTATACCACTGTCAAACGCATTAGTTCAGTCGACTCTGATCATTGTTTTGTGCTGGCAGAACTAAGGCGAGATCATCCGAATAGGTGGCCAGCTTCGCAACGCCCCTTTCGTTATGAAAATGTTTGGCAAACCCATTCCGACTACGACAAACTTGTTTGGATAGTTGGAAATTCGGGGTTGGCCAGGAAGGACTTAAAGGAGTAGTGGAAGCGCTAAACTCCGTACAGTCCCAACTCGGCTCCTGGGGCGAGCGCGAGTTTGGTAACATGGCTAAGAAGGTTCGGAAATTGCAGAGAACCTTGGAAAGGCTCAGAACTGCTTCTGTTGGAAGGGGGCTGACAGAAGAGGAATTGTCTGTGGCTTCGCAACTCCGTGAAGCGTTGCAGCAAGAAGAAATCTGGATCAAGCAAAGATCCAGAGTACAAACGGTCCGGGCTGGCGACAGGAATACAAAATTCTTCCACGCCCGGGCATCACAGAGGAGAAGGTTAAATCGGATCACGACTCTAGAAAGGGACGACGGTCATATATGTTCAGACCCCGAAGAAGTGGCCGACGAGATCCAAAGTTTTTACACAAATCTGTACTCCTCTCAAGGGTACAGAGATATGGCAGATTTGCTCCAATTTGTCACACCCCGAGTTACAGCAACAATGAATGAAATGTTAGAGAAGGACTATACTGCTGACGAGGTGCGTACGGCATTGTTTCAGATGGCACCATCCAAGGCGCCCGGGTGTTGATGGTTTCACCGTTGGGTTTTTCCAAAGACACTGGGACATCCTCGGCGATGACATAACAATGGCCATCCTAGAATTCTTGAATGGAGGTGAGCTACCCAGGGGACTAAACGACACTGCCATAACTCTAATCCCCAAGGTACGTAACCCCCAGAAAATATCCCAATTTTGCCCTATAGCTCTATGTCATGTTCTGTACAAGATAGCTGCAAAAGCAAATACCAATCGTATGAGGAACTTGATGGATGAGGTAACAGGAGATGAACAAAGTGCCTTTGTCCCAGGACGACTCATCACTGATAACGTATTGATGGCATATGAAAGTATTCATGCAATGAAGAAGAAGAGGAAAGGCAAGAATTCTTCATGTGCAGTAAAATTGGATATGCTCAAAGCATTTGATAGAGTGGAATGGCATTACCTAGAAGCGATGATGACACGGCTGGGCTTTTGTGATAAGTTTGTCAGACTAGTCATGAAATGCGTCTCATCAGTCCGCTTCGCTGTGAAGGTCAATGGAACACTCCTGCCATTTTTTCAGCCAACCAAAGGATTACGGCAAGGGTGTCCCATGTCCCTCTTCCTATTCCTAATTTGTGCAGAAGGTTTTACTTCGCTAATGAACAATCACGGTGGCCCTCATATTGATCGTGGTATTCGTGTGAGTGTTCGCTCTCCATGGGTTAACCACCTATTGTTCGCAGATGACAGCCTCATATTCCTCGGAGCAAACCTCCAAAGCACACGAAGATTAAATGAGATACTTTGGATATATGTAGAGTGCTCCGGACAAGCAGTAAACAAGGCCAAGAGCTCTATTTACTTCAGCCAGAATGCAAGTCAACCTGTTCAGTGATATAGTCAAACAAGAATTGGGAATCCATTCTGAAGCATTCACTGAACGATACCTGGGCCTACCAACGGCGGTAGGACGGATTCACGGTGGCTCCTTTAACCATATTGGCGAACGAAGTCGTGCAAATATGCAAGGCTGGTCAGAACGTCTCCTTGCATGTGTGGGAAGAGAGGTACTACTAAAATCAGTAATCCAAGCCATTCCCACCTTCAGTATGACCTGTTTTCTACTGACGAAAAAAGTTTGCAAGCAACTCACATCTTCAATGGAAAAATATTGGTGGAGCAGCTCCATTTATAGGCGATCTATGCACTGGCTATCATGGGAGAAACTGTCAGTACCAAAGATCCAAGGGGGTATGGGGTTTAGAGAGCTCGAGAAATTCAATCTTGCGCTTCTCGGCAAACATGGTTGGCGCCTAATTACTCACCCCAACTCCCTTTGCTCTCGTGTCCTCAAGGGGAAATATTTCCCCGACAGTGACTTCATGCAGGCCAACGCCCCGCCCTCTTCTTCAGCGACATGGAAACTATTATCGCGGGACGATCGGCACTGCAAGTGGGATTGATCAAACGTGTTGGAAATGGTGAATCAATCTCAGTTTCGAATGATCCTTGGATCCCCACCTCCAATACCATTAAGCCCATGGGGCGGCTAGGGAACGATCCGATCGATCGGGTCGCCGAGCTCATTGACAGTAACACAGGGACTTGGGATATTGAAACAGTTCGCCGGAACTTTCTCACACCAGATGCGGAGGACATATTGAACATTCCTATTCGGCACAATGGTGGAGAAGATTTCCTGGCGTGGGCCTTTGAACGATCTAGAGAGTACAC